TGTATTTGAAAACGCAAAAAAGAGTTAAACCATAGTAATTTGCATGCATGCAAAAACCAATCAGTAATAGTCCAAATTAGCACTCTGTTTATGCATATACGAACTTCCTTATAATCTCAACCGAAAGCTAGCTTACCTCTTCAAGAGCTGCTTTTTTACAACCACCATAATAATTATAATTATTTGCCACTCCTTCATCATCACCTTGGTGCCCCATTTCCTCAATCACAACCTTCTTTTCCTCTTTACAGCTTCTAATTTCAAAACAATCAGAGTACCAATTTGTTAACCCACCAGAGAAACAATCATTTTGTTGGATATCCCGATATCTTTTTCGCTTCTTTTCAAATCTTCACTCTTCAATATCTTTTTTACCTGCTGGCCCCTTCTTATGATGAACCACTTGGGTTCATAACGTTAAGTACTTTGTTCTGTTTCTTGGAAATATATTACAAGTATTTTTGGGTAACTTTCTTGGTTCTGAAATTATGGACCTCCATTGTTTCTGGGTTGGCTTCTTTCTGTTTTCTGGCTTTTGGGCAGTTGCTTTCTGTGATCAAGATGGTATGTGTTTTTTCTTTTTCATCATTAGTTTTGTTGTATGTCACTAAAACTTTTGGTGGAAGAATGACAGTAGGCTCATCACAGCAGAGCCTTCATTCTGTTCAAAAGTTAATTTTAACTCAAGTTTAAGACTTTTGCTCAAATGTTGCTTTTATTCATGTATATGGTACAGGTTTCTTGAGCTTAACTTGTGGTGGAACTACCAATTACACTGATTCATCGAGTATCTCATGGATTCCAGACAGTGCATACATAAGCATAGGCAACACCACCACCGTTGATTACTTTGATGGAACCTCCTCATCTGGCGCCCCAGTTCGATACTTCCCAGTTTCCCAAGGTCGCAAATGTTATGGACTACCAGTAACCAATGTGTCATCTTTGGTTCTTGTTAGAGCTCAATTTGTGTACAAAAACTATGACGGCCTTGGGAAACCCCCATCATTCTCTGTGTCTCTTGGGACAGCCATTGTTAGCACCATAGACCTCAGAAAAAACGATCCATGGACAGAAGAGTTTTTATGGCCAACTGGTAAGGACGCGGTCTTCTTCTGTTTGCATGCTATTGCAGATAGAGGGACTCCTGTAATTTCTACAATTGAAGTTAGGCCACTTCCTCAAGGAGCTTACACAAGTGGCATGGAAGATTTCCCAAATAAGTCACTTAGGAAAAGCTACCGAATAAATTGTGGTTACACAAATGGATCTTTGAGGTATGAACTTTTTGAGCTCCTTGTATGTATGTAGCTTTGATCGTTTGTTGGATTTTTAGTCATTGGTTTGTCTAACAACAGGTACCCTTTGGACCCGTATGATCGTATTTGGGATGTTGATCAAAGCTTTGCACCATTTCATGTGTCAGCTGGGTTTAAGACTCAGCTTAGCTTCAATTTCTCTGCTTTAAAGGAGGCTCCCCCCGCTGCTATTCTTCAAACTGCTAGAGTTTTGGCACGAAGGGATGTGTTGACATATAACTTTCCACTTGATACCTTGGCAGACTACTACATTGTCCTCTACTTCGCCGGTATTCTTCCTGTGTTTCCTTCATTCGACGTCTTAATTAATGGTGATGTTGTTCAATCAAACTATACTGTGAGAAGCTCACAAGTTGGAACACTATATTTTACACTGAGAGGAACGAAGAGCCTGAACATCACGTTGAAGAGCACCAGCTTCTGTCCTCAAGTCAATGCAATCGAGGTGTATGAAATTCTTGATATTCCAAAGGAAGCCTCCTCCACCACAGGTACCACTTTTGATTTGCATACTTGTTAATTAATTTATGGTCACTCTACTTGCTAGTTGCTGCTACAACTGATGATGACTTTATTTTGCTTGCAGTTTCAGCTCTTCAGGTTATTCAACAATCTACTGGTCTAGATCTGGGATGGCAAGATGACCCTTGCTCTCCGGTTTCATGGGATCAAATTGGATGTGAAGGAAACATAGTTACATCATTGTATGTTCAATTTTATCTGTTAAAGTTGAATTGGTGCCTTGCATTTTACCTAGAGATGTGGACTTACTGTGTATGTTTTTCTTAGGGAGCTCCCAGACATCTATTTGAGGTCAGTTAGTGCAGCCATCGGCGACTTGCTGGATCTTAAAACACTGTAAACTCTTGAGGCTGCTTAACGCTGGTTAGATAACTGATGCTACGTTTTCGTTGGTCCATTTTCTTATGTTTATGTTTTGGTGGTCTTATGCTCCAGGGACTTGCATAACACATCGCTTGCTGGTGAGATACAGAATTTGGGTAGCTTGACACGTCTTGAGAAATTGTAATGTATCTTCATTCATGAACTGAATTTCTGTTTCTTTAGACATCATGACGATTATTGCGTGACTGAAACTTTCAGGAATCTGAGTTTCAATCGGTTAACATCCTTTGGTACTGATTTGGAGAACTTGGTTAGTCTTCAAATTCTGTAAGTTGAATTTTCTACATTTTTAAACCATACGTGTAAGATGTTGTCTGTGGACCCAAAAACTGATACTAACATATTGCATTGTCCTATTTCTTCTCCTGATTCTATATGGAGGGACTTGCAAAATAATACATTACAGGGAATTGTTCCAGAGAGCTTGGGAGAGTTAGAAGACCTCCACTTATTGTAAGTGAAACTTTTTAAAAATAATACAAACGAACTTGTTGTTTTCTGAATTTTGTGATTCTTATATGAGCAAGATCATTTGTTTCACTCAAGTATATACATCCTCTGCATTCATCAGGAACCTGGAAAATAACAAACT